GTGTGTGTGTGTGTGTGTGTGTGTGTGTCTCTCTCTGTGGTGTGTGTGTGTGTGTGTGTGTGTCTCTCTCTGTGGTGTGTGTGTGTGTGTGTCTCTGTGGTGTGTGTGTGTGTGTGTGTCTCTCTCTCTGTGGTGTGTGTGTGTGTGTGTCTATCTGTAGTGGTGTGTGTGTGTGTGTGTGTGTGTGTCTCTCTCTCTGTGGTGTGTGTGTGTGTGTGTGTGTGTGTGCGCGCACGCGCACTCCTCTGATATGCATGTGAGTCCCAGGTCCCCACAGGACTGTTTCACTCCGAGCTCCCTGGCCCTTCCCTCCGGCCGTCCCTGGTCTATGCAGCAGGACCTGGAGAACGTGGACGGTCCCTGCAAACCCTCTCTATTGCTGCTGGGAACACGAGTCCCGGGCCAAGCTGAAGTCCCGCACTGTCCTCAGAAAGGTCCCGGTGTTCCTGGGGCTCCTGTGAGGATGGGTGCTCCAAGGGCCACCCAGGGAGATAAGGCAGCGGGGGTCTGAAGAGCCCTGTGTATGGCAGCGCAGACCCGGACTGCCTGCCTGGTATGAAGCCCGGCTCTACCTTTACTGCAGTGTGACCCTAAACACAATGGCCAATGCCTTGTTGCCTCAATCTCCTTATCTCTAAAATGGGCATAATAACAGTGTTTTATGACTTTTGTGAGGATCAAATACGTTCAGGTACATGAAGCACACAGGAGAGTGCCTGGCACAGACTAAGCACAACGTAAGGGTTTCTCATTCCTCGGGGTTTCTGGGGAAAGGAGCAAAAGCGGGGTGGCGAGCAGGTGTGGCCGAGGCCCCACCCCTGCACGGATCTGCACAGCCTGGCTTTGATCTGTTTGACACAGTACCCTGGGGCGCTGCATACCATTTTGTTAAAAAATATTGTGGCTGAAAGAGGGCTGCAGCCACTATGCTGAGGTCCCGACAACAGCAAACCTTGAAGAGAAGTGCTCCCCTGCCTCTGGGAGGGTGAGGGGGCCACAAGGAGGGCTATGGTTAGGAGGCTTGGAGTCCAGGGAGCCACCTGAGCTATGCTGACATCAGTCACTCTGCGGCCTGAGGTTGGACCCACAAAGGGCAGGCTCTGATGTGAGTGGGTGCATCGCGTGAATAAGCAATTACACGGTCCCGCAGGTGAGCGTGGCCCTGGGGGACGGCCCGAGTGTGCATTCAGGTAACTGTGTTTCACCCTCAGTCACCAGGGCTCCGGAATTGTTCCAAGAAGCCCCAAGGAGTAAAAACCCAAGGGGTCTGCCCCACTCAGCCATCTCCACCCGGCCAGCTCTCACTGGGAAGGGCGGCCTAGAACCAGGCTCCCCTTCGCCTCTCTTCCCGAAGCAGAGTTTCAGGGGCAGCAGCAGGAGGGGGCGGAGGCTGAGTGCTGGTGACCCCGCAGCCTCTGCTCATTGTTTCCAGCCCCGGGGGAGGGGGGCGGGGAAACAGCGGCTGCAGATGGGGCTGATAAGAAGAGCCACGCTGCTCCACTCGGTTCTGGGTAAAAGTCCCTCCACCTGCCTTTTCCCATCTCCCTCCCACTCGTCACCTCTGGGGTCTGACTCACTTTCCACCTGGTTTAAAGGAAGGCGCTGTGAGCTGCTGAGTGTGCAGTGGGGTGACCTTGAGAGGTCATTTCAGGATCCCCCTGCCCCTGGGCGAGGAGAGGGCATCAACTGGCCCAGCCAGGGGAATGTCTGTGTGTCTATTCTTGACTATTCAGGAAGATGAAGGTTGATTGGATTTTAGCTGCTAAGGGAGAGGCCGAGGTGCGTGAGGGTGGGCAGAAAAGAACACATTTGGTGGGGCAGCTGGAAGTAGGCACGGGGGTCTTTGGGGGCCACTTTCAGTGGAAAGAGCACTGAACTTGGACTCAAAAGACCTGGGCTCTGAGGTCTGTCACTAATGCCTCTTCTGTGCTCAGTTTCCTTGTTTCTAAAATGAAGTGGGCAACATGTACATCTCTGAGATCCTATCGGGAGATTTTCTTGGCTCAGGCTAGAGAGCTGTGTTGACAGCAGGTTAGCATGGTAAGGACATCTCTTTAATCCCACCATTGACTCCCACATCTGGAGAAACTGAGGCTCAGAGAAAAATGATACAGCCAAGATCCCAGGCTGGGCACCCCAGCACCAGGTGTCATTCAAAGCCTAAGTCAGTGGCAGCCTTGCCCTGCCCAGCCACAACTGGTGGCCTTCCCCAGCCCAGCTACGGCCTTGGCCCATCCCCGAGCTCAGTGCAGGAGGGGAGGTAGGGCTTTAGGCCTGGCTGACTGTCTATATCTGAGAGCCGCCCCAGCCCACCCCCGGCCTCACCCTGACGGAGCTCCGCATGGGGCCCAGGTCGTGGTTATAGGCCTCCACTATCAGCACGTGGGATGAATCTTGCTCCCGGTCCAGGGGCTGGGGCCCTCGCACCAGGAGCCCGTCACTGACGTGGATACGGAAGTGGTTGCCATGGTTACCTGTGTGGAGAGACAGATGAGATGCGTGGACTCTGTCCTGGAGCAGGAGCCTCTTGGGATTGTGGGGTAAAGAAGGGGGACCCAGCCCTCAGAATGCTGATCCTACCCAGAGGTCTCAGGACATGGTCTCTGCATCATGCTGGACTGCAGGGAGTGCGTAATTTACTCTGTACCCTCCATACAGGGAGCCTGGAGGACCTCTGATACACCCCACCCTCCTCACGAAGGTGTCAGTGGATTCAATATTTCAGAGGGATCCTGGGCATCACAAAAAGGAAGAACCACATCTAATTTCCTCTGTAGGGTGGATGAAGTCCGGAATTTGGTGGACATCTCCTGGGATGGTCAAGTTGCGGTTTCTCATTGTCTAGTGAAAACAGCACCCC